AGATACAGATACAGATACAGATACAGATACAGATACAGATACAGATACAGATACAGATACAGATACAGATACAGATACAGATACACAGATATTATTAAGTAGTTTTAGTGAGGGAATATACCCTCTCTCTCAATTTTAGACAGGGTATAACGAGTCATAGCATATTGCAATGCGAACTATTCGTAACTGGGGGTCATTCTGCCAGCACTGGCAATATGAAGACGTATGACAGCTGGGCCAACGCAGGCCTTCGTCTGCTGATGATGATGTACTGGGAGTGAATGAGAGAAAGAGAGAGAGTTAGACGGGATGAGAGAAGGAGGCAGGGAGTGTGTCAGGCTGGTTGGCCGGCTGTCATACACTTTTAGCCTTTTGAAGTAATTTGCAGTTGCTATTTTCTGTTTTGTAATTGCTTATTAATGTCATTGTGCTCTCGGGCCTGGGCCTGGGCAGTGAATGGGCACAGGGCTCTGCCATAACTTCACTTGAAAATGTTTTTAACAAATTTATGCTAATGTGATTTTGCAATTAAAATGCTGCACAATGATTTCCACGAACCATGGACGGGACATGAACTATTTGTTGTTGGGGAGAGGGGCGTAATGCACTAGTGCCAGGCGATTTATAATGGCTCTGGCTGTGTCTCAGACGCAACACGATCAACATTTATTCACATCCGCATTATGATCGGCGCGCGGCATGAGCTCTTAAATCATTTTACCATATGTACAAGCTCTAAAAGTCTATGAGTGTTTCGGTATTACAAGACCGTCCCGAGTCGTCCCCAACCGTCAATTCATCTATCTTCAACGCTGATTCAGACGCCAACCCAGTTCCCTTAAAAGAGTCGCCGACAAATGATGATGTAGTTATTGGCGGTGCCGGGGAGATAGCTCTCTGATGCCCAGACATTGGTTTTAGCATTTGGCATAACGAGCTGTCAGAGATTAGTTGCTTTTCTCATTCGCACCATGGTTGAATTGAGGGCAATTCAGGCGAATAATATGAGAGTCGCTTAAGTGCGCAGTTATCGAAGCTATCGATTAATCAACTGGTTTCTGTCCTTGTCCTTTTTTTTTTGAATATGTGTCGAAATGTTATAAATAAATGTAAATTATGATGTCTGCTGTATGAGATTTAGAAAATGTATTAAATAAATATATATAAAGTCAACAGAAAATTCTACAATGTATTTAGATAATACATAAACTCGATTTTTTGTCTATATAATAATTTATTAAATTTATTTAAATAACAAATAAACAGAGTCATACATTTATCAGATTCATACATGAATCAACAAATAAAAATAATTAATATTTATTTTCAAAAACATTATTAATTATAGCTATTCCCTAATCCAACATGTATTGATTCGGAATATATCTCGTTGTATTTAGAAGTAATTTTATTTAAAATATATTTTCGCTTCGTTGGCAACTTTGCCCACTGTAAGAAGATCCCGTCTGATTTACCGTAGCACGTTTACGTTTTCTATTTGATGTCTCTGTCTGGCCTTTTGATCTTGTTACACCAGGGCAAAAGGCTCTCTTTTTGTATCTTTTAGTTTGTCTTGTCATTTTTAGTGGCTTAATGACTTCTATTGCAGAATATGAGAAATGTTTGGCAGCAACCAGTTCGCTTCGGGCAGCCCACGGATGGGCCTACAGAGAAATCTGTATAGATTCCTGTGCTGTGGAGTCCGTGTGTTAAATATTTAACGATTTGTACTTTATTTATACGTTTGTCATAAATTACTTTAATATTTAAAATGCACATTGCTCTCGTTTGGGCGCACATACCATCACCATCACCATCAGCATCAGCATCGGCATCGGCATCAGCAGGCACATCAAGTGGCAGCCATCACATGCAATGTGAGAAATCATGCATAAAAATTTATTATGTTCAAGCGCATGTTGCAACATCATGTTGCATGTGCCTGCGCTCGGCCCAGAGCTCCTGCCTCAGCCTCTGCCTCTGCGTCTGCCAGCGCCTGTGCCTGCAACCATCATAATAATATCAATGGCACAGGCAAAAAATGTTTCAGAACAGAAAAAAGGAATCGAATCATATATGCAAACAGTAAACGAGATTTATAACGAAGTTGCCATGCACTTCACAGAATTAATTCACCACAATAATGATAAGTAACTGGAAAGTAAACGCAAGCTGTTTTATTTATGTAACGTTCTTCAAATACTTTATTCAAATTGTAATATTATTTACCCTGTGAAAAATTATCATTCTGTGGAAGTTTTCTTAGGAATGTTAAGGTTTTTTTTTTAAATGATAACAAATTAAGTAAAAAGAGATTTAAAAATAAGATAGAATCTTACAATTTTTAGAGTTTTTCCCAATTTAACAAATATAAATAAATATAAATGTAAGTACATATAATATATATATATAAAATTAAAGTAGTCATTTTTATCTATTCGATTATTACAATAAATTTTAATACTAATAAGGAATATCTTATTTCCTTTTGAAAAAAGTTTCGTGTTTATTTAATGTCGTATATTTTTATATCTCTGTAATTGATTATTGATTTGGCCTAAGCTCATTCAAAGAAATTTTTAATTGTTTTAAAAATATATAAATACATCTTATTTAAAAAATATATAAATATGAGTTATATAGTTTAAAAAATAATCTGGTTTATTTATTTTTTTTTAATTTTTATTTATTTCTTATTTTTTCTGCATAATATATTTGAAATAGATTTTTACATCTTCTCCATATGTGAATCGAATTTAATATTTATTATTTCAGTCGTGTCACACAGCTGTAGTTATAGTTGAGCTAACCGCCCTGTTGGGTACAAGCTCGTGCATTTGTTTGCTGCGGCACATTGCAAAGTGCAGCAATGCAGCACAGCAACAGCAGCAACGGCAGCAGCATCAGCAGCGCAGCCGACGCCAGCTGCGACTGCGGCGGCAACATCATTTGAACTGTCATTAAACTTTGACTATCATCCTTTTATTATTTGGAGCTACCGTTGCCTGGCCCATGTTGCAAGCGTTGCTGCTGCTGCTGCTGTTGCCTCATTGTTGTTGCTGCCAATTGTTGCAGCATTTTATATATATTTCGCTGTTGTTGTGTTTTGCTTTTTTCTGCATTGCGCCTGCTTTGTTGTCGCTGCTGCCGTTGTTGTTGCTGGCATTTTGTTTTGTTTTCTCTAACACGTGAGTTCACCGCAGCGCACGTTGCAAGTTGCTGTTGTTGCTTTGGCCTTTGTGTTGCTGCCAACAAGAGCAAAAGCGCTGCATGGCTTACAATATTTGTGTTATGAAGTGTGCGAGTGTGTGAGCGCACACACATTTATAGATACAAATACATATGCATGTATGTGTACAATTTTTTATGCCGTGCTCTCCTCTCTGATGTGTCGTAATAGACGTCCTTTATTATGGCCAGTTGCATTTTGTAATATGCATTTGTCAACACAAAAGACCCGGCTGCCCCGCCGCTGTTGGCCAACTTCAATTGCAGGTGAAATGTTGGCTAACGAGCAACTCCACTCGACTCGACTCGACTCAACTCCTAAAAGGCAATACAAACTGTGCAGCTTTGCCGCTTTTGGCCATCTATTTGTCATCAAATGAAATTTATGGTCAAACGCAATGAGACAACGAGCTGTTCCCATACCCAAGTGTACTTTCGGTAAAGGGTTCAACAGAAATATTCTATAGAGCTTTAGATTTAGCTAATAGTCGGGAGGATAAGACTCTGAGTCAATAAAATTCAAAATTTCTTGCAGACTTTAATGAGATATCATAGCTGGACTGGTGTAGGAGTTTCTCAAGTATATATCTAAGCATCTTCAGTGAGACATCGACTTTCGATAAAGTGATACTTAGGTATCTTCGTTGCTGGATTCGGATGAACTATACTGTGGTATCAGCGACTGAGCGCGTACGGAGAGCGTCACCTCTTCACGATCAATGTGCTTCAAGTACTCGGCGGTATGTGGATCCGGTATATGGGTCTCGGCGCGTTTCATCTGGGTGGCGATCAGGGAGTGGCGCTTGATGTAGGCCTCGCGTAGCTTCGGGTCCGGTGCCTCCCTCTCGAATGGTGTTTCGTCGAAAGTGATCTCAGGCAAATGCTGGACGTGGCCACCGTGCTTCACGTACGTTGCCAGCTCCTCTTCCGTCATATTCCTGGTCTTGATGAGCTCTGTGAAGGCGCGCTTGGCCTCCAGCTGCTTGGCCTGTGAGCGCTTCAATCGATAGAAGTCCTCGCGCTCGAACTCCTCCAGCTCACTGCTGATATACTTGGCCGTAGCGCTCAGCTGCGGCAGGACTACAAAGTCCAGGGCATTGATGCGCATATTGGTCTGATGCGAGGCGTACATCAGCAGGCGCAGCATGTACTCTAGCGAGGCGTACTCTACGATCATCTTCAGCGCCCCTTGAAAGTTCTTGCGCACCTTCTGCACCTGTTGGCCGCCGCAGCTGAGGCCCACCAGCGGTTGGGAGTTCATATCGGTGATCTCCAAATCGAAATAGTTCAACGTCACGCCCACGATCTTCTGCTGGCGCTTACGCAAGTATGTGGTTGCCTTTCGTTGGTCTGTGGCAGTCAGGGGCTTGAAGTCCGCGCCCAGCAGATTCGCCTTGGTCACTGAGAAGATGGCGTTGCGCATCACATCATCCAAATTATCCCCCTTGGCAACCATCTGGGCCTTCAGCTCCCGCAGCTTCAAATCGATTGCATCGCGCTTGCGTATCAGCAGCCGAATGCCGCGCTGGGCGGCCATGATCTTCTGACCCATCAGCACCGCATTGGCGCGAGACGGAAATATCTGTATCTTGTTGTTGACGGCCATCTTGCAGCAGCGCCCGCACCTCTCAGCAACGTCTTCCTATCACTCGCTGCTCCTTGCCACAGCCAGCTGAACGAGCCGGGAACTGCTAGCAATATTCTTTGAAATACTTTAAATTTATTTAAAAGCTTGACATAAAATTCATTTTGTTGTTCTTGAATAACTACCTGAACGAGCTTTCAGAGATCGAGAGCTAAATACCACGAGGTATAAATATGTGAATATTAAAATGTAATTTATTTAAATATTTTAGACATTTGTTTATCTTAAAATAAAATACAAATTATACAAATTGATTACAATATTCATAATTAACTTGGATATTTTATACTATTTTATTAACTTTAATTTAATAATTTATTGTGATAAAAAGTTACCAAATATTAAAAAAAAAAAATTCTAAACAAAATCTAATCATTTAATGCTTACCAAGTATTTATTCACTTTATTTTAAATAATATATATTAACTATTTAAAACGATTGTAAGCTCTTCTTTTCGTTTTCAAAAAATAGAATTTTATTTAGGATTCATCAAAAGACATTAAATTGTAACTATAATTTTTGTATTTTCTTAATAGATTTTATATCCGCATTAGAATATAGAATAAACCAAACAAAAATAACTAATGTCTGTTAACTATTATATCATATATCATATATGTATAGCATGAAGTCTTTGCTTCAATTTAGCAGTTACGTCTGGAGCTTCAAACTGGAATTAAAGCAGGAAATGCATTTGTGCCTTGTTAAACACACACACACACACACACACACTGACGTACAGGACTTGTAAAATTGTTTGCTTTTCAATTTGAACAACGTCTCTTTCAATATTTTCATTGCATTTCCGTTATGAAAGTATTTGCCTTAGTGCAGTTCGGGCTTGTTATGATTTCAACTTGTTGCACGTGAAATGCATAACATAATTTTCATTCCGCCCGCAGCCGTGGCACCGACTAGCGACTAGCGACTCTTTGGCCCTTGAATATAGTCCAGGCACGTAAAGCCTGCAGCCGCCAGAGCCGTTCTCGGTCTCAGTTCCTTGAGACTCGAGCTCCACATGCGGAAGTTCTGCCTCGGCAGCGAGAATTTCAATGCAGAGCTCTTAAAGTGCAAGTGCTGCAATAGTGGCTTTAATTGAAATTTGCAGTTGACGGCTGCGGGATAGGGGCGTGGCACACAGAGTAGATTAGCTACGTACATACATACGTTTCTGCCCAGGAAACATATGGCGAAATGCAATTGCCTTTGCCTCTGCCTCTGTCTCTGCCTTTGGCTTTGATTTAGCCTTTGCCTTGGCCGACAGGCAATATGCTGCGCCGTCAACATTAATTTTGTATGATTTGCATTGATATCGCCCGGAACTTGACACATATGTCATTTACTTGCAGGCAATCGAATCAAATTGCCCACGCTCTCTCTGGGCCAACTCGTTTGCGGAGCTGGAAACTAGAAAAGATTTGCTCATCCATCGCAGCTGCCAGCTAAATACTCTAACAAACAATTGAGTAAACTATTTATTGTTGAATTTTAATGTCAAATCTTTCATCGAATTCTAGTTACTATATTTAAAATCGGCGACTTCTCTGTGAATATTTCTCTCTGTCTATCTGATTATGGGCATACCAAGAACCTATATACCCTTGGTGTGGGTAAGTGCATACGGGCAGAACAAAGTGCATTCATTTTTGCATCGGACACGATTTATAATTCAATTTTTTGCATTACCTAATTAAAAGTCGCTCAGTTCGCTTGACAAGCTGCCGAACGGGCGGCGGGAGGCGGGGCGAAATTAAGTCGGCCCACACAGCTGACAATATCCGGTTTAATGCTAACAAAAAAATCGAAAAAAAAAAGAAAATTGAGGAAAACGATAGGGAAAAAGTGCAACAGCCGAGCGTAAAATTTGCTTGCAGCTATTAAACGGAACTTGGAAAAAAATGAAAAATAAAAGGAATAAAAAAAAAAGAACGCTCGAATTGGTGAACGAATCGAATTTCAATCAATTAATAAATGTGCAAATTAAATAATTGGCGTCACTCTTGTGGCAAAAGGCAATTCGAGAGGCGACATTCCGACGATATCATATTAAATATTCAATTAATAAAAGCATCAAAGGGTAACGTTGCTCAGCAACTTCAAATGGCCATGCCTACAGACATATATGGGATAAACATACATACAGATATATAGATTGAATGAAGTTTTATGCAAATACAGAGGACAAATTTTAAATTGATGAAAACTTACTTAATAGACAATTAATATTAATATTAATAATAATATAATATATTTATATTAATAATAATATATTAATAATCAAGAAGTCAAAATCTACTTAGTTATAATAATATATAAGATGTTAAACCCTCTCTAGGTACGGTTATTTATTACATTTATATGATATAAGATATGTACATATATATTCTTGATCTTGCTAAAAGTAGCAGTATAAGTGTTCCAATGTTATTTTAGTAGACATTTATAAAAGTTACTATTAAACAATGTCACATATCTATATACTATATACATATATTGGCACTATTGTTTACCACTGTTCCTAAAAATATTTCAGGTTCACTCAGTTTTTAACACTTTATGGGGCCGTAATAAATAGGCCTAGTATAAGCTTAGAATTATGCTCCAAAATAATTTTGTTTTATTAAATTTGTCAATATATCTCTTCGGACACCAATATTCTTTGAACAGACTCGTCACAGTAAATACTTTGATATTTTGATTGATATTTTACCGATTCTATCAACTGCTTTATTTATTTATACCCACGCTAAATAGTTTTCTAATGGATTAGAAAACTTAGCATACACTTGCTTAATATTTTAGTTTATCTGAATTCTCTATTGTGCTGCTCTTGTGACTATCCATATAAGCAGCTTATTAGTGCTCGAATCGAGTCACCTGCGTCTTTAGTTTTGATTGCTCTACTCTGCCCAGTTAAAGGAACTCCTTTTTTGTTGTTGTTGTATCTGCATATTTAAATTTCGTATCGTGCGTTGGGCTTGGGTCTTTAAGAGTTGTCGCTTACGAAATCAACTGCAAATCACGACTGGGCAAAAATACATGCAGAATCTACTGTGAATGTGGCTATATTTATGCCGGCAACTGGCAGTGGGCAACAACAACAACAACAACCACTGCCAGACCGACATGGAGACAGAGAGACAGAGGGATAGGCAGACAACAGCAACTGCAGTTCCCACCAAGTGGTGCTTGGTGGTGCTAGTGCTGCTGTTGGTGGTGGTGGTGGTGGTGCTGGTGGTAGCTAAACAAAACGTGTGCAACAAACTAAGCCATTTTTGTCGCCGCCCGTCTAAATACCAAACTTGGCTTATACAGCAGCACCCAGCAACAGCAACATCAGCAGCAGCAGCAACAACAACAACAACAACAAAGTGAAAATGTCCTGCGCAGCAGTCGAAAAGTTATAAGAGCAGCAAAAAAAAGGCCAAATCCAAATAAATCATGATTCATGACCAAAAGCCACAGAAATGCCAAAAATAAAAGCAAAAATTGCATAAAACTTCACAGAAAATACAAAAAAATGATAATACAAAAAAGAGAAGAAGAAGAAGAAAGAGTTTGAAGTGGAGGAGGCGACGATACAAACTGTTCGTGATTCGGGCCTCTGACTTTTGCCGAAGCTGCGAGTGCTACGAAAATAATGCGACATATTTTCGAAATAAAAAAAAAAAAAGAAGAAGAAGAAGAGAAACAGAGAAACAAGAAATAAATAAAAGCAACTGAATACAAAAATTGTGACAGAGCTAACGTCGCGAATCGTTAGGTTCGCATTGGAATCGAGAGTTTCAGGCTTTGCCCTTGGCCTTTTGTTTTTGTGGCTCAGTCATGTTGGCCATGTTTACAAAATGTGCCGTGTGCTAAGCATTTTTATCACGCAGCACTCCCCCCGGCCCGCCCCTTCTATGCATACATGCTGCAAACAGGCTCCAGTTAACATTTTTTGTTTCGGTTTTCTGTTGTCGTCGACAAAGTTCTTCATAAGAAATCATGTTGTCTGACGTCGTCCTCGGGTCTCTTCCTCTCTCTCGCTATCCCTCTCTCTTTCGCTCTGGCCAGCCTAAACGATCGTTTTGTCATAATGCGACATTTAAGGAATCTCTATATGAATTCACTTAACGATCTGACGCGTTGCTCCTCGGTTGGCTGCCTTCAAGGTGTGGAATTGTAATTATGTGATTGTAAAATGGTCAACTTTTAATTGCATTTAATATAATAACACGGGCATTTCATATGGGAAGAATTAATTATAAGTTGCAGTAGTGTTAATATTTTGTTATTATCTTTAGATGAATTATAATTATGCAAATAGCTTAATGCCAGGCATGAAAAGATTATAAAATAAGAATTGCTGTACCTAAAAAAAAAAAAAAGAATCATCAAGAAGAATCTATTTGAAGATATATTTCATATATATATAATTAAAAATAATTTTATTATAATATACTTATATATATTATTAAATTATATATATATTTTTTTTATTTCTTATTATTTATTTTTATATTTTGCATATAAATATAATGTGTAAAATATGTATATATCTTTTCAGTATTTTTTATACCCTGAACCCATTGGAAAATAGGAAATCATTTTAAATTTATAATTCATATAATATTCATATAATTCTTAAAGAAATAATGATTGAATATTTACTTCAATATTGTTTTTACTTCTAATATTTTTGTTCTTGTAAATACTATAAATGTTTTATTTTAATTTATTTTTATAGAATATGCAACAGAAATAAACATATATTTTACTTATTAAGAATTTTAATTATATTTATTCTTTATATTCATTTATCTGAATTTCTTTTTATTATTATTATAATTTTGTTTATTATTTTGTTATCATAATTATTATTCTATTCAAGAGTAATAAAATATATAAATATAAAATATATAATTCACATTATTTTATAGCCATTTTCATGATTTTCTATGTCAACTTTATTACCCGCTGACTCATCGTCGTCGTTTGGCAAAAATAACTATGCTCACGTTCCGCTCGCCCAACGGCCATTATTGAAACTTCTATAAAAGTCGGCAATATCCCACTGTGTCGCAGATCCATTGTCGGGCGCATTAAAATGG